CCTTTTCAATTCATCAATTTCCTCTACAATACTTCCCTCCAAATAGCCACCCAACCTCTGCTGAATTGAATTTCTGATTGAATCTAACAGGCACTCACATCTCATCAGCATCCTTTTCCCCTCTGATTGGACCCTCTGCCTGGACGGCAGGACCATGGGCTTCAGCATCTCTATTTAATGAAGGGCTTGGCTCAGCACAGTCTTCTCACTATTTCCCACCAGCTACACTGCTTTTGGCCTTCTCCATCATGCCCTTCTGCCTAGTATCTTCTTCCCTGATCCTCCCTCCTTCTCTTTCCCTTCATTTGATCCCATCCTTTCCAGCTTCCTTTTGTGCATTATCTCCCCCCATTAGTTTGTAATCTCTTTGAGGGACCATCTTTCTTTTTATTTGTATTTGTATCTGGAGTGCTTAGCACAGCACCTAGAACATGCTAGGTGTTTAATAAATGTTTATTGACTGACTGCTGGTTCACCTCTAAGGATGGGGACTCATCTCACATAGTTGCTCTGGACAACTGTATTGAAGGATATTTGAAGTGAACCATCAGGTACTCCCACATAGCTGGTCTTCTTCAGGCTAAAAATTCCCAATTTCTTTAAATTAGATGACAAAGTTTTGAGTTTCCTTACTATCCTTCTATATTGGGCATCTCCTTCTAGATGTGCCCCATTTTGTAAATGTAAAATTTGGCAGAGAAATGAACACAATACTTCCAGGTATGATATGACCAGCATAGAGTCCATTGGATTTATTATTGGTCCTGAGCTGAACAAATGAATTTGATAAGATGTGCTAAAGCTTTGCTATAGCCCAGATATCCTGTGTCTATAACCTCCTACTGGGTCTTTCTTTTCCACTAGGTGAGCATTGAAGTAAAGCAGGGAATGGCTAGTCTGGCATGACTTAGCCCTAGGGAATTATCCATCTTGGTTCTTAGTGATTATCATTTCCTTTTCTGAGTATTCACTAACTTAGTAATTTAATAATCTTTTCTAAAAATTTGCCAAGGATCACTATCATGCTAACCAGCCTAAACTTTATGGAATTCATCTTTTTATTTCCTTTTGGAAAAATTAAGACTGTACTTGTTCTCTATGAACCTATGACATCTTTGCTATTCCTTTAAGGATTACCAACAATAATTAAAAAGCATAGAGGCCAACAGTCCAATTTCCATATGCCTCTGATAATGAAAATCTGAAATTCATACCAAATTGAAAATGATCAAGAAATCCAACTAGAAACTACAATAAGTGACTCCTTCCACCCAAAAACTGAACAAAAAGTTAGCCAGAAGCTGGCAGGCAATAGGAAAGAGGGTTACCCACAAAAGCCAGTAACAGTGTGGGAAAGCCTAGGCCAGACTCCAAAGACATGTAGCCTGGAAGTTCTGTGTCAGAAGGCCACAAAAGAAGAGAGCTCCCCAAGAAAGACTCAAGGAGATCAGAGAGACCCAGGGAGGGGCCTTGGGAGGTTCTGTGACAAATATGGCATTAAGATAAGAACACTCAAGGTCTGGGGACTGCAAGGTCCCTAATACTCTGTCTTGAGACACCATAGAGTAGGAATTCTTTTTTTTTTTTAGGCAATTTGGGTTAAGTGATTTGCCCAGGGTCACACAGCTAGTAAGTGTCAAGTGTTTGGTCTGAGGCCGGTTTTGAACTCAGGCCCTCCTGACTCCAGGGCCAGTGCTCTATCCACTGAGCCACCTAGCTGCTCCCCCCCCTTTTTTTTCTTTTTTCTTTTTTTTTTTTTTTGGCTAGGCAATGGGGTTAAGTGACTTGCCCAGGATCACACAGCTAGTAAGTGTTATATGTCTGAGGCCAGATTTGAACTCAGGTCCTCCTGACTCCAGGGCTGGTGCTCTATCCACTGTGCCACCTAGCTGCCCTAGAGTAGGAATTCTTAACCTGAAACCTGTGAACTTGTTTTTTTGGGGGGAGGGAGGTTAATTTTTTTTAAACATATTAAACATTAGTCATGTTGTAAAGAAGAATTAGAACCAATGGGAAGAAACATGAGAAAGAAGAAATGGAAAGAGAGAGAGAGAGAGAGAGAGCAAATAGTATGCTTTGATCTGCATTTAGACTCCATAGCTCTTTTTGGATGTGGATAGTATTTTCCATTATGAGTCTTTTATAATTGTCTTAGATCCTTGCATTGCTGAGAAGAGCTAAGTCTATCCAAGTTAGTCATCATATAATGTTGCTGTTACTGTGTACAGCACTCTCCTGGTTCTGCTCACTTCACTCAGAATCAGTTCATGTAAATCTTTCCAGGTTTTTCTGAAATCTGCCCTCTCATCATTTCTTATGGAACAATAGTATTCCATTACATTCATATACCACAACTTGTTCAGCCATTCTCCAATTGATGGTCATCTCCTCAATTTCCATTTCTTGGCCACTACAAAAAGAGCTGCTATAAATATTTTTGTTTATGTGAGGCCTTTTCCCATTTTTATGATCTCTTTGGGATACAGCCCTAGAAGTGATATTGCTGGGTCAAAGGGTATGCACGGTTTTATATAGCCTTTTGGGCATAGTTCCATATTGCTCTCCAGATTGGTTGGATCAGTGTGAACTTGTTTTGTTTTGTTTTGATTTTTAGTGAAGCAGTCTGGGTTAAGTGAAGTCACACAGCTAGTAAGTGTCATGTATCTAAGGCCTGATTTGAACTTGAGTCCTCTTGACTCCAAGGCCAGAGCTCTATCTACTGCGCCACCTAGCTGCCCCTTGTGAACTTGTTTTTTAAAATATATTTTGATAGCTATTTCAATGTAATTGCTTTCCTTTGTAATCCTGTGTATTTTATTTTATGTATTTAAATTATGTAATTAAATTAAATTTAAATTATATATTATTCTGAGAAGGGTCCCATAGGTCAAACATGTCCATGACATAAAAGAGGTTAAGAACCCCTGCCATAGAGTGTCCTCAAGATCCATTGCTCTGAATATCAAAGATCCAAGGAGTCCTAACCTGGGAAAGTGGAGGTCAGCATAGAAACCCAGGAGACCCTTGGTGAGACCAGTGCCAACCACCCCACCCAAAAGTACAATAGGGGTAGAGTCTGGTTATGGCATGAACACTCAATTCAAGAGCTAAAGTTGGAAAGCTGAGTAAATCAAAGAAAACACTACAAGTATCAAAAATTATTGTAGAACTAGAGATCCCCAAAAGAATGAGCATGTAACTAACAACTACAAGTCAAGACTCAAAGGAAAAAAGTTTTCCACAAGGCTTAGAAAAAATAAGCAAAAGATAAAAAAGGGAAATAAAAGCCCTGGAATAAAGAATTGGAAGGAGAATTTACTGCTTAAGTTGTAAACCTTACCCAAGTAATGGACTGACTATTGGAAAACTAAAATAAACCAAACAGAATTCAATGACTCCATGGAATAGCAAGAAATATTAGAATAAAATTAAAAGACTAAAAAATAGGAGAAAATATAAAATATGTGAGATCAAAAACATCTGATCTGGAAAACAAGTCAAGAAGAGATAATTTAAGAATCATTAGACTGTCAAAATTACAACTAAAAAACAAACACATACCGTATTTCAAGAAATCATAACTGAAAACAAAACTAAAGGGCAAAGTGAAGATAGAAAGAACCCACTGATCATTTCCCAATAAAAACCCCAGAAGGAGAAGTCCCAGGGCTGTCCTAACCAAAATTCAGAGTTACCAAGACAAAGAAAAAACACTGCAAGCATCCAGAAAGAAGCAATTCAAGTGTGGAGGAATCACAGTCAAGATCACACCTAGAACCGGCAGTTCTGCTATAAATGAGGAGAGACCCTGGAATACAGAAGTACAAGAGACAAAAGACACGGGCTTACAACCAAGAGTAACTTACTCTGAACAGCAGAGTATAAGCCAGCAGGGAAAAATGATGGATCTTTCATGGAATAGGGGACTTTCAAGAATTCCTGATAAAAAACATCAGGGTTGAGTAGGAACTTTGAAATGCAAACATGAGACTCAAAAGAAACCTAGAAAGGTAAATTTGAGCAATTGGAGGAAGCATCCCTTTATAACCTTAATGTCTTCAAGAGGTATTCAGGGATTTAAATTAAACAATAACAACAACAGAGGATCTGGGGGTGGATTAGTTCTGTGCTGAGGGTATTAGGAAGGAAAAGAGAAAGAAGAGTAAAAAAGTGTCAAAAAGAGGAAGAAAAGAGCAGAACTTGTTATTTCTCAATAGCAAGAGCAAGTATGAGAAGAAGAGTGTACAGACACAGAGGAAGGAGTGAGAGGAGCAGACATCAGATGGACCTCACCCTTATTTGACACAGACAAAGGAGGGTTGAACACACACCCAAGGTTTAGTATAGAAAAACATCAAACTCACTGTAAGAGGAAGAATAATACCGGGGAGAGAACCGCTGCAAGCTAAACAAACTTCATGATCTTGAAGAGGGATTAAAAGAGAGGAAAAAAGAAAAGAACTGGAAACTAAGGGAATATCCATCAGTTGGGGAATGGGCTAAACGAATTGTGATATAGGAATGTAATGGAATATTGTTGAGCCAGAAGAAATGATAAAAGACATTTTCATAGAATCCTGAGTAATTGAACTGATACAGAGTGAATTGAGCTGAAACAGGAAAACAGTTTCTACAAGGACAGCAACATTATAAAGAAAAAATGGCTTTGAAAGACTTAACTCTGCTCCTGAAATGTAGCTGTTTCTCTAGAAGACCAATGATCTTACTTAACTCCTTACAGAGAGGTGATAGACTCAAAGTGGACAAAGACTTAGTTTTTGGATGTGGCCACTGTGTGGATTTGTTCTGCTTGGCTATGTTGAATTTGTTGCAAGGATTTCCCCCCTTTCTTTTTCTTGGTTTTAATTGAACATGGGGTTGCAGGAACCTGAGGGAGGGTAGCAATAGTGATGTCAAAAATAGCCATTGAAACATTTTTTTAAATGCACAGAAGGGAAGAAAAGAAATTCAAAAGGAAGTAAAGACAAACAGGACAGTTTTGAAATAATATGGGCAATTATTACATACTTTTTTAAAAAAAGGTAAGTGGTAACAAAGAAAATTCATGTTTTCATATACAATCCTCTCTGTATTCTGTTGTGTTTATGGAAATATTCTTTTTTTTTTTTTTAGTCTAAGTCTCAGATTCTAAAAACATGAATCACATTTCTGATGTTTACTAGCTTGGTAACCTTCGGTAAGTTATTTAACCTTCTTGAGACTCAATTTTTTCATCTTTAAAATGAAAATAATAATACTTGAACCTATCTCACAGGATTTTTTTTTGTATCAACCGAGACACTGTTTGTAATCACTTTGTAAAGCTCAAAGGGTTGTATATATCAGCTATTGTTATTATCACATCTGTAAGTTCTTTCTTTACCCTGGGACATAATTTGTTCTGGCGAGGAAATATGAACTCATTAGTATTAGTTACCCTTTTATTATTTTCCTACCTATCTTATGTTTCAATTCCATCTTAATTATTTTCATTTTATTCTTCCAGCCAATGAATCAAGAATGACAAGCTGTGCTATGAACAGCAGAGGGATCCAGGCCAAGGCCCTGGGGCCTAAGGCATGGTGGAGGTGGAAGAAATTATTTCACCATCAAGGGCTAAGCAAGCCAGGAAAGATCTGCCTAAGAGGATTTGATTCTGGTCAACCAGCCAGAGAACATAGAGCATATGAAAGGGCAAAAAAGAGCAACTTGGAGGGAGGGAGGTTGGGGAGGCGGGGAATAAGATGGCCCCAAGCCAGGATGGGGGAAGTGCCCAGATCTGAAACCTATGGTAGAAGAGAGTTTGGGAGCTCATTTAAGGAAGTTCCTTTTTCAGTATGAACAAAGATGGTTACTGGATTGTGAACTCCCCAAGGTTTGGAATTTCATCTTATCTAAACTGTATATATCCCCAGTATCTCATACAGCATTCTATATATTATAGGTGCTTAATTTTTTAACTTGAATTAAATTAAAGTAGTTTCTCAGGCCATGGCCAATGAACAAGTCAGGGTCACTGTAGAATGATGGAGCTAGAAGGGTGAAGGATGAAAGGATCTAAGATCTAGACTCCGACATACCTAGGTGAGGGCTGGAGAAGTAACAACCAAGCCTGTTAAAATCAGGGAAGAGAAACAGAACTTAGTTAATATCTAAACCAAAACAGAGTAGAAGGTTAATGGAAGGCAGATAAGAATAGGTTGAATATTCTGTATTTGGTGCAGAAGAGAAGGATTAAACTTCAAGATTCTTTGTAACTTGTGAAATGTTGCCCTTCTGTTCCACTCTACTCTTCATATGTTTTCCTTCAGCCCCTTTGTTTCGCTAGCATCTAGCACAGTGTCTTCTACATAGTACTTAATATCTATTTAATGTTTGTTGAACTGAACATAAGTCTTGGGAATTTCAGTCAAGCTTGTCCTTGAGGCCAAGAGCATCATGGGAAATACAATCTTTTCTTTGGGATATGTACTTATATCCTTTCCTCCTTCCAACTAAAAAAAAAATCCATCATCCCAACAAATCACACTAAGTGTCCATCTATGGCCATACATCTGGATTATAATTTCATATAGTGCGTGGAACTCTTTGTATGGAAATTCCTTTCCACATGAAGCATATCAACAACTGTAGTTTATAATATTAGAGGGTTAACTGGGATATTAGGCATTAGGTGATTTGCTTATGGCCCCAGAGCTCGTATGTGTCAACCTAAGTCTTCTTGTCTCCAAGCTAAACATTCTGTCTAGTTGTTAGCCTACCTCTTGGCCATAGATACACATAAAATAGACAGTAATTCACATATAGTTTACATACAGGCAATTTTTCCAGAAGCATAGATAACCTATAGGTATATGTTATTGTTGAGTTGTTTTTAGTTGTGTCCAGCTCTTCATGACTCCATCTGGGGTTTGCTCAGCAAAGATGCCGGAATGATTTGCCATTTCCTTCTCCAGCTCAGTTTACAGATGAGGAAACTGAGGCAGAGTTCAATGACTTGCCCAGTGTCACACAGCTATTAAGTGCTTGAGGCCAGATTTGAACTCAGCTGCCCTATAGGTGTAAAGTTCATAACATCATATTTAGAGAGGCATATACTTGGTCAAATGTATATATCCCTTATAAATGCATAATACCCAGCAACATAAGACAGAGTTGCATACAGTGGACCAAAGGAGCCACATGGAAATATATCATACACACTATCACACACTGGATTTTCATACAAAGTGTATATTGTATATACTCCACTGAATGGCACCATCTGGGTACATGTATTCCATTTTGATAAGCAGTATTTATTAAATGTCCACCATCTTCAAGTCACTGTACTAGGTGCTGAGAAAGGGGAAGAGAAAGGCTTTGCAGCTCTTGTGCCAAGCTGTTCATTGCCTTTCCAGTTCTTTCTTCCATAGCTCACTGTGATTTTTTTCTTGGATTTCCATGTCAGGATATGGTCTGGTGCTTTTTCTAGGTCTGTTTGGAGGCATCTGAGCAGGAGGTGGGGGAAGAATAAGGGAGAAGAAAGTATCCTGTACTTCTTCCTGCTACTTCTGCCATCTTGAATCCACTCTAGACCCTATTTTCCAAAAGAAAATCTTGGACACATGTTTATTACCAAGGATATTGCCTTAGTATATATACTCTTGGTAAATTTATACTTCCTTTCTTGAAATGAGGATTTCCTGATAAAATCCAACATGTGTAGCTGATGGAGAATCCCCTGTCTGCTTAAGCAGTCTATCTGTGGAATTTCTCCAGGTCTGTCCCATTTACTGCCCAACTTTGGACAAGACTGTCTCTAGAATAAGAAGGCAGATGTTATGCTGTATCTGGCTACACTAGTAGAGCATGATTTTGGAATCAAACTGGTAATAATAACAATACCAAAAAGATTTCTATAGCATTTTCAGGTTTACACAAAGCTTTACCTAAGTATTCTCATTTGCTGCTCACACAAGCCTATGAAGTAAGTAGTACTAGTACTATTATGCCTATTTTGAAGATGAGAAACTCAGGCTCATAGGGGTTAAGTGGTTTTTCTAGGATTGTATAAGCAATAAGTACCAGAAGAAGGATTTGAACCCAAGTCTCTCCCTAATACCAAGTCCAGCATTCCTTCTACAATAATGAACTGCCTCTCAAAGTATTGTAGAGAAAACAATCATAATTAACACAAGTGAGGGGTGGAGAGGCAGTGACTTGGTTGTTGCTGCTGCAAGAATTCAGGATAAAGGTCACTAGTTCTACTTTGCCCCTCTGGTATTATTCAGTAAAGTACCAGAGTAATATACAGAAACTGGGTGCAAGCTACTAGGGGCATGATGGGAATTGACAGGAATTTACCAACTCCTGCTAAAACATCAAGTGGAATAAAGGAAGCATAGACAGAATTTTAACAGTTCAACTCCTTCATTTTTTAGATGAGGAAGCAGAATCAGCTGAAAAGACTGATTTGGTCTGAGAGATTCTTGCTGTGCTGGCTAGGTGAGGCTGTGAGTCTAACTCACAAAATAGCTTGAATAACCCTTAAGACTATAGGCTAACTCACCAAGGAGCTGTCAACGTTGCTCTTCTAGAAAGAGGCTGACTAGCAGCTGCAATTCAGCCAGCACAGCAAGATTTCGTAATATTTCATAATATTAGAAGGACAACGGTGAAGCTGAGGACATTTGTCCTTCATTGCTACTAAGAGATCAGAATTGCTGTTCCCTCTCCACCCTTTGCATAAATGCACACTTATTCTCTGCCTTTTGCTCCTCCCCCAGAATTGGCATTTGTCTGACTGTGTAGCTCTAGGTATGAGCTTTCATAACTGTGCAATTTAGGTTTCACTTCCTTTGAGGGAAGGTCCCAGACTTGGGGGAAACAAAACAAAACAAAACAAAACAAAACAAAACAAAACAAAACACAAACCTCTATCTCAGACTGAAGTAAATTTCTATAGAACAAGGCTACTGGGTCATCTTGATGGATAATACTGTTAATTGCTTTCTTTTTCTTACCTCATTGCTTAACCTGGACTCCAAAGTCAAAAAGTTAAAGTTATCACAGGTTACTATGCAAATACTCAATAGCCTTCTGGAAGAAGTCTCAAGAAGGAGGGGTCAGGCTCATGACAAGGCATTTTCTCTCTGATTTCATATCAGCACTTCTGTTTGGTTTCCACTAAGGTACAGGGTGCCCCCTGGTGGCCCCTCCTTTTCAGCTTTCTTTTCCATTAGATTGTAAGCAACTTGAGGACAGGGATTGTCTTTCTTCTTATTATTTATATCCTCAGTGCTTAATCCAAAGCCTAGCACATAAAAGGCACTTAATAAATGCTTATTGAATTGAATTAAAGCAGACTTACGTGATGAGATTTTAGTGGTAGGGGAAATCTGCCTATAAAACATCTTCCTCACTTGACTCACCATTATTGGGAATTTCACAATTATAGATTTAGCCTCTGGGCTTTGTTGTTATTATTGAGTGGTTTCAGTTGTGTCTAACTTGTTGCGACCCAGTTTGGGGTTTTCTTAGCAAAGATATTAGAGTGGTTTGCTATTCCCTTCTCCAGCTCATTTTATAGATGAGGAAACTGATGCAAACAGGGTTAAGTGACTTGCCTGGGTCACAGAGGTAGTAAGTGTCTGAGGCTAGATTTGAACTCTACTCTTTCTTATTCTAGCCCAGCGCTCTATCCACTGTGCCACGCTAGCTGCCCACTGTGTACATAGTAAGTGCTTAAAATAAATAAATGGTTGTTGAATGAATGGTTTGTGGACTTCCTATGGAAAATGTGAAGTTCTAAGATGACTTCCCTATGCCACTATGTTTTTAGATATCTTCTCCCAACTATGAGTAGAGTTGATTTTGTAAGGCAAACCAGTCTGAAAAAGAACATAAGAAAAATAATATAATTAAGAAGGTCAGTTTTCTTAAGAAAAGTCATAGAATGATAATTTCCAAATACTCAGGTCTGTTTTGGAGTATCAGGGCGCCAGCTGTCTTCTATGGTGAATGGAAAACTGAGTGACTCAGCTACTTACAGCACCTTTACTATGTGCTGGCTAATTCGGTGTGGCAGTGGGAGCAAATCCCTTTAAGGCTTTCTTCCTGGAGCTCCCTGGCCACTTCCTTGACCTTCAAGCAAAGGCCAACTGATAAACTCCCTAAAGCTCTCTTCTGGGTCCAGCTGGGTTCCTGAAGATTAATTCTTAGACCTTTCTGATCTGAAATGCCCACATATGAGGCCAAAGGAACATGCAGGCAGAATGTACCTAATTGTGTTAGCTTTTATTAATTAATTTCACTTTATGTACTTGAGAGTTAAGACCTCCTCAGTAGGCTATGCAAATTTATGCAAAAGAGCAGGTGGACCCATGAGTCCCAGAATTTCCCCCACCCCCACCCCTCTCCTTCACAAATACAACATTGTTCTAATTCCCCATTGGACTCTTCAGTGAGATTTCTCTCTACACAGGAAACATGCTCTCCTCTGCAGGCCTGTGCAGAATATTCATTCTATCTAATTACCAGAGACAGCTGAGGTTACACGCAGATGGAGACCAAAGAATTTGAGCAGACTTGCTGAGGGAAATGGGTCTGCACCGCTAACTTCACTAAGCCAGAACCCCTTCCTAGCAAGGGAGTTTGACAAAAGTGAGACTGAAAATGACAGGAGAGACCATGCCAGGGGCATAGAAGGGAACTGGAGAGAAGGATAACTTGGAGGGGAATGAGGGAGGGATTGTTTTCTAAAACACTTGACTGGCCCCTGTCCCTAAGGGAGCTTAGGTCGGGGCTTCCGGCTGGTGGACCTTCTTAGGATGAACCAAGTGCTGAGCAGCTGCTTGGCTCCCACACTAAAGCATGACCTCCTCATCTGACTTGGCTGGGGAAGCCCCCTTCGAGGACGTGGACCACGTCTGCAGCAGTCATGAAAGAGTGTATTCAGCTTTGAAGTCCCAGCACCTGCCGGATGAGGTCAATTTAAAAAGTGGAAAACAATGCTCTTTTTACATACCTTGATGATCTTGTCAGGAGGTGCATTTAACCAAAAGAAATTGATTTCTTAATTTAAAAAATTTTTTATATATCTTTTTTCACTGCAGTAATTTTCTGATTATTTCCCTTTCCCATAGACATTTCTTTTCTCACAGTGGAGAGAGCACTGGCCCTGGAGTCAGGAGGACCTGAGTTCAAATTCAGCCTTAGGCACTTTACATTTACTAGCTGTGTGACC